TTTTCCCAAGCAGACGTGTTTGTTCTTTTGGTAGTCGATAGGATTCTCAGCACTCTTCGCCAACACCATGATGCATAGCAAGTGACTGAACATAGCATGTCTTGAATCAGATCTGCCTTGGTCTATAAAATGACATCATTGTCTTTTTATACATTGGAGAGGCCCTTGACACGCACACTTTCCCAATGTAACATGTCTTTTGATCTCTTGACTACTGCCAGCATGGGTTTATTGTGGATCCAAGCAAGATGAAATTGTTGACAACTTCAGTCTTTTCTCCATCTATCATGATATTGCCTAGAAGCCTGCTGGTGAGGATCTTTATTTGCTGCCTCCAGGGGAGGTCTTTCTCTTTCCTTAAGCTCTCAGAGAAGGTCTTCCTTCATGTCTTTTTAGCATTTTGGGATCCAGCATCACTTGGAACTATCCACGTGTCTTGATATTAATCTTTCCCTGGGTCTAGGAGGTCTTCAGCTCAAGGACCTCAGCTCCAAAGGATGCATTCAGTTCCTGGCTCTTTTTGGTGGTACTTAGGTCCCCTCTTTTCTACTTGCTTCTCTCTCTCTTTTAAATTGGTTTTCATACAAAGTTTTTATACATTGTGCATCACACTATTCTTCATTCACTTTGTATTTCATACAATCACTCTTAGGCACTACGTGTAAGATAAAAGTCAATGCGATGTATGCCATGCAACAAGGATACACTTCTTATGTTGAAGAATGACTGCTATCTGAGTAAGAATGTTGTATTCTATTTCTAACAATTCAACTCATTACCATTGAGCCAGAATTTACTCTAGTGGGTTGTCAGAGGCTTAAATTACATAGAAGAAGATTGGCCATCTTTCTTCTGCAGAGCAGTTGGTGGATTTGTGACTGAGTTGAAAACACAGCTCCTTACCCCCAAGGCCACCAGAGGCCCCTGCATGCTATCTTAATTTTTACAAAATATTGGTTGATCACATCAAACTACACTATGGGACATGATAATAGCATTGTGTAACTTCCAAATTAAGTAAACAATTGCCAAAATAATGAGAATCAAAACTCAAACAGGTTTATACATGTTTTTATGGGGGAACAGAGTTCAATCCTTGACAGTTAACAGCCAAGGTTTTAATATCTCCAGGGGCCAGGGCATTCCAGAAGGGTGACTATCCCCCAGTGTTTTCTCTTCTCCATGCAGGAAATATTCCTTCAGACATCTCCCTTATATACACTGCGTCATCTTGAAACTCTGAAGAAACAGAATATTGTCTACAGTATTCCTCAGTCTATTTTCTCAGATAGGGTAGAAAGGTAGCATCACGTACTAATCTGAAACTAAGGGTCACCAGAGTTCTGGTCAGCAGTGAAGACGGAAGGGCCATCGTGGAAATTTTACAGATGCAAAGCACAATCCAGAGGGAGAGGAAAAAAGTCACCCATATTTCCAAGGGCAGAAAAGGCTGCCTTGCTCCATGATGGTGTCTATGACTGATAAACCCACACTCTGCATGCCTGGTACCCTTACCTGCTTTAGTGGTAGCAGCTTAAGACTTCCTGATAGAAGCAGGTGGCTTGTAACATCTGCATGCACCTGCTTGGGGTGTTGGGAAACGGCTGCCAGCACACTGCGCCTGGTTCTTATCTCCAGTGAGAGCAACACACCTGATATCCTCTTTGTTCTTCTGCTTGTCAATACACCTAGTTTTTCTACCAGAAGAAGAAAGACAACAAATGTTTCCTTTTGTAATGAGAAAAAATTCATAATCTTTCCTTTTTAGAAGGATTTTCCACTGCACACACATACTTCACACACAGAGTTAATCTGTTGCTTATACTGAAAAGATGTTAACACACACACACAAATGAAAGTATATTGTTGTCGTTGTTGTTATTGTTGTGTGCCATCTAATTGTCTTTGACTCATAGCAACTTTACGTACTAGGCTCTGAACGTGCCATGTCCTGAGCCAGTCTCACTGACTCTGATATACCTACCTCCATTGTCCCAGTTGCTGTGTCAAACCGTCTCATCCAGGATCTTCCTCTCTTGTGTTGTCCGTCTGCCTTCCAAGCATGATGTTGTTCTCTAAGGACTGGTCCCTCCTGCCGTTGTGCCCAAAGTATGTGAGATAGAACTTCAGAATCCTTGATTCCAAGGAGAAACTTGGTTTCTCCTTCTCCAAGACAGACCTTTTTGGTTTTCTTGACTGTCCATTGTTTGTTCAAGACTCTTCTCCAGCACCACAACTCAAAGACTTCAATTTTTCTGTCATCTTTAATCACTGTCCAGCTCTATGATGCATAACAAGTAATTGTGAAGGCCATGGCCTAGATCAGGGGCACCTTAATCCTAAGACTGACATTATTACTCTTTAGGACTCTGGAGAGATCCCTGATGGCACACTTCCCCAATAATTAAAAGGAACTTTTATTTTTTTCTAGAAGTAGAAAAATCTATTAAGATGACAATAAGATGCATAGGTTGAGAGTGGAGTTTTGATGACTAAAAATCTTGATATAAAATTATGAGTTTGTCCTTAATTTGCTAGAATGCTCTTACAGAATGTTCTTTTTTTTTATCTTTTTATTATTAAATTTTATTAGTTTTAATGAACATTTACAGGGATTTGGGGTTTTCATTCTTTCATTGCTGCACCATTCTCTCTACCCTCCTCCCCAGTTTGTTCTTCTTCCCCCGCCCCCTGAATGTCTGTTTTAATTGTCCAATTGCCACAGTGCTTGTCAAAGCCAGTTTACAGAATGTTCTTAACTTCTGGGAGGGGAGCTCAATGTCTTCACCTGAATAAGGTGCCTGATCCCTTCTTCATGGAGCGGTGGACAGTGGGGAAGCACTGGGAACACACGCTAAGCATTTTCATTGTATATCCACTTGTTTTCTTCTGACATGAGCCCTAGGATGTCCAGAATTATCTGTAGAATCACTCAGCACATATTTGTCCCAATCTTTATGCAGAACCTCAAATTCCATCTAATCTGACTTGTCTGTAATCCTGTCCACAGGCTACCAGGCCTAGTGTCTCCGAGCTGTAGCAGAGACCCTGGGACAGGGACTCTGAGAAAGGGTCACTCGGTCCACACCAGGACGGCTCTAACCATGTAAATCTACTTCATTTTCACTCTCCTAAAATTGGACTAATTGTGAAATTTTGCCCACTCTTCTGAATTCTAACTTCCAGAATCTAGAGGAAGAGCTAACGGATTCACTCTCCCACCCCGTAAATTCTACAGCTTTTATGTAACAGCAGCACCAAGCAGGGGTCATTGAACAATGGCGAACCTGGTCCAGGCATGACAGAGGCCTTGTTATGCGACGGTGCAAGCAAATCAGTAACTGAATCACGCTCCCTAGCAGTTGGCAAAATGTCCAGCAGTGCCTGTCTTAATGCCTCCCACGATCTATGCCTGCTCTTTCAACTTTGTCCTCTCCTTGCCTCCAATCAATGTGTCAGTTCTCTTCCTCCCTTTCATGTCTATCCTGTGCTGACATTCCTCTGTTCCTTTAAGAAGGCAGAGGTCTGTATTTTTTTTTTTTTTTTTGCATGGACATCATACTGAATAAGTTGATTTGTGTTTGCTAATCCCATCATGTCATATAGAAAGATTGGCTTCAAAAGCTTGTATTAGCTCAGTGTTGTTGTCAGCTGCTCTACTGCGGACCCTGACCAATGGAAACCTTACACACAGCATCACAGAGTGCTGACCTCCTGCACCACCTCTGCGAGTGGTTGCAGATCAATCATCGTGATGCACAGGGTTTTCCCTGACTGTGGAAGCAGATGGCCAGGCCTTTCTTCCTAGCCCATCTTAGTCTGCAAGCTCTTGAAACCTGCCTTGCATTCTGGCAACACAAATAGCCTCCACTTTGTTCAAGGTCGACTGGTTAGGAATTGAACTCTGTCTCCAGTGTGGGAGAAGAATGTTAATCCTGCCACTGAGCCTGCATGGTCCAATGTTCAAGTGCAGCCCCAAGCCCGAAACGAATATCCTGATTTCATCCTTGAAAGAATCACATAAAAGGCTGAGAACAAGTTCTTAGGTGGTAGAAATTATTTGTACTAGACTTGGGATTGGGGGTGGGGATTGTAAAACAATGAAAGAATTTTTATTTTACTTTTCAAAGAGAAGAGTATACTAGGGGGAGAGATGGGCAGGGAGAAACGTGCAACAATGAATGAATGGAAATCCAAAGTCTCTGTACATTTTCATTAAAATTAATAATAATAAAAAGGTTTTTTTAAATAAAGAAAAAAAAGATTGGCAGTTCATTCTCACACAGAGAGAAGTATCTCAGAAGAGTGAGTTAATGTGCTGTTTCATTAAGTCTCTGGTGATGTTTGCTGTTGTTGTGTTTTCAGACTCGTGAACAGCAATAGTCAAGTAAACCACCAAATTGTTCTTTTCATACTGAGAAAAACAGAAGCTCTTATGGATAGCCATTATATTCTAGGCTTTCAGCAGAAAAGCCAAAGACACGCACATGGACAATTAGACACTTGGAAAGACATCCTTTTAGCTAAGACGTAACTCAGTTATTTGTTTTGTAGAGAGGTTGGGGGAAATATTTCTTCATTTGAGCAGCAGCATTGTCAGAGGAAAAGTGTCATGGTTCTGAACGCTTGTTTGTTCCGGTCCTGTCCTGATTGCAACAATATGAGTGTCTTGTCTGTACTGGTGGATTATTAACAGAGGTGATTGGTCTCCATGGCAAAATGATTACTTGGAACATAATCTCATTTATGAGGATGCAAAAAATAAGAGGTCGGGACGGGGAGAGGTATAAATGCCCAGTGAGGACCTGCGAGGCTACTTGAAAGAGGCTGCAGCAACCCCAGGGATACAGTTCACAGGCTGGTTGTGTTTGTCTTCAGTCTGCAGATAGGAATTTGAAGTGAGGACAATCTCTAGGACTCTCTGACTGAAATTGTGAGGATCCTGTGAGGGAGGTGGAGTGAGGAGCCTTCGTTGACGGATTGGTGTCAAGTCGCCCAGCATGTGTACCGGAAGTTGTGCCAAGTGCCTTGGGGGCACCCTCATCCCCCTCACCTTGTTTGGCTTCCTGGCTAACATTCTGCTGTTTTTCCCTGGAGGAAATGTGATAGACAACAATGACCACCTCTCTGATGAGGTCTGGTATTTCGGAGGAATTCTCGGTAGCGGAGTCTTGGTGAGTAAAACCCAAGAAATAACCCATCGCTGTCCAGTCCACCTGGACTCCCAGGTGTGGGAGGCCTAAAAGCCTCGGGGAACACTGTCCACCTTTCCTTGAGAACCGGACACTTGCTAAGCAGTGGGGATATTTGTTGTTATTAACAAGCCTAGAGTTGCTGTTCAAAGGCCAGTCCCTCAGCTCTTACTTAGTCTGACCAGGTCATACCCACTGAGCTGACTTAAGAATGTCTCCTCTCTCTGGAGGTGACATTTCACATGAATTAGTTGAGTCCCATGACCCAAAATGAAGGCTACAACATTTTTTTTTCTCAAAAGGCTATATGAAAAACAACAACAACAACAAAAAACACCAAACAAAAAATAAACCCCAAACTACTCTTTCTAGCAAATTGCTAGACTTAAAACCACAAAGAGAAGCATTTGTCTGTGGCATTCTTTCCCTTTCATGTGCTCATACACTTTCCTTTAGCCTCTGTTCTAGTAGAGCTTGAGAACATCCAGTACAGAAATAGAGAAAGAGACGCATTCTCAAGACTGTCGGGCAATTAAAGACAAATATCTTACCCTCTCCTATCCCTCCATCTACATGGAAACTCACAGTATTAGATCTTGTGATTCGACCTCAGGAAAGCTGATGTTTGTCAGGACAAATGGAGCCTGGATACTCAGTAATACTCACACTAGCCCACCAGCCATTTTCGGTTGGGTTTTGCCACAGCCTCACATCCTGGATGTTACCCCTCAGCAGCAGGCAGGCCTAGGTTTGCTCATCGCATCCTCAAGCCCACTCTGCATGACTCTCTCTCTCCTTGGCAGATGATCTTTCCTGTGCTGGTCTTCATGGGGCTGAAGAACAATGACTGCTGTGGGTGCTGTGGCAACCAGAGCTGCGGGAAGCGATTTGCCGTGAGTTATTGGGGGGAGCAGACCCTAGGGTGCTTTGCCATCTTGAGCTGGGCAGCATGGAGTTAGGGGCAAGCTGCCAGCTCCAGACAGAGACCCTAGAGCAGCTAGTGGTCCTATTGGTACCAAGTAATTAATTGTACTAATAATTTTACAAATACCATCCTCTGCCATATGGATGTGAGTGTGGTTTTACATTAAAAGACGTCTCACAGGACTACAAAGTGTCATACAGAGAATATACGTCTGTAAGAAAAAAGAATGGGGCTGTGGCCCTCTCTCCCTCTGACACTGAGAGATCTTAAACAACTCATTTTCTGACTCCGTCCTTGTGTTGCCTCATCTCTAAAGTGAAGATATAGATAAGAAGAGAGATGGCATCCCTCCTTCCCCACTGGCCCTCCCACCCACACAATCATCAGCTCCACTATCTGTGAGACCCAGGCCCTCCCCACTTCTACACGTAATTTATGTCAAGACTTTTAGAAAATACTTTGTGTTTTCAGTGAAGGTTTAGGTCTTAGCAGTCTAGGGCCTCATCCAATAATTTCTATATAAATTGTTCCATGATTTTGGTTACATCCATTGCTGCATATAAACATTCTCAGTATTTTCATTTTAGTTGTTCCATTTGCTTCAGGACTTCTGAATTTGTCCTTGTTTCATGCAGCCTCTATCATGAGATAGAGACGTCAGGCGTCAACAGTGTAGGGGTGTAGTAAAAAGAGTGCTAGATTTGAACACAAGAGAGGTGCAGTCAGGTCACATTTGTGCCGCTGGGCAAGTGTCTGCAGGGCCCTTTGTTGCTGTTGTTGTTGTCGTGTGCCTTCGGGTGGGAACCTCCCTGTACCTGACCCTCTAGCAGGTGTTCAGAGATTGTAAATCACATGGGAGGAGGTGGCCCATCTCGTGCAGTTGATGTTGGATTTGAACTACCTGTTCTGACTCAACAGCAGTGAGTTAAGTGGAGTTGTTGAGTTGAAAACATAAAATCAAACCCACTGCTGTGGAGGCCTTTCTGGTGTGTAGAGAGACCCTCCATCAGGTCTCAAAGGGTCTACATCTTTATGAAAGGAAATTGCCCATCTATCTTCTGTGAATTCAAACCATTCATGTTTTGGCATGTAGCCCCTAACATTGCACACTATGCCACCTGGGCTCTTTCTACACCCTTTGCTGACCTGTAAGGCGAGGAGAGTTCACCAGGTCAGAATTGCCCAAGTACTGACAAACTCTTGTGATACAATTTCTTGATATATCTTCCAGTGGCATCAGAATTGCCTTGTTAAGTCTTCACTTCTTTCAATTTTATCAGGAAAAAAATATCTTGCCAAATGAATTACATTTTATGAAAATAAGAGGTATTTTAATATTTCTAAATCTTCACCATCCCCTTTTTGCAATAAAAGGAAAAAAAGATCTCAGACTCCCATAATACAATCATTATTATTTAACTAAAATTCAATATAATTTTGTTTGTGCTGGCCAATGATTCTAGCTTATTCATAGTAGCCACAGAAGTGTGTTTTGATAGAGTTGACTGAAAAAAGTCAACTAAGAGTTCAGGTTCATTGATGTGGAAAAAATGTCCATGGTTGTTGTTGTTATGTTGTTATGTGCCATCGAGTTGTTTGTAACTCTTAGAGACCCTGTGTACAAGAGCCCTAAACGCCGTTCTATTCTGTGCCAACCTCGCTGTCTCTAACACATTCATTCCCACCACTCCACTCACAGAACCGATCCATCTCATCAAGGATCTTCCTCTCCTGGACCGTCCCTCCACTCTCCCAAACATGATGTCCCTCTCCAAGGACCAGTCCCTCCTTTCAACATGCCCAAAGCATGTCCGAGCTTCAGAATCCTTGACTCCAAGGAGCATTCTGGCTTCACCCTCTCTAGGACAAACCTGTTTGTTCTCCTAGCAGTCCATGGTATATTCAACACTCTTCTCCAGCAGTACAGCTCAAAGGCATCAATTCGCTTCCTGTCATCCTTAGTCACTGTCCAACTCTCCGATGCATAGCACATAATTACGAAGACTATAGTCTGGACCAGGTGCACCTTAGTCTCCAGCCTGAAGTCATTGCTTTTCAGTACGGTAGAACTACCATTACTGGCAGCTGAGTAAAACAGACCCCCTTCTCTAATATTCTACAGCTTAATTTTCATTACAGGATGTGTGAGACTCATAAATGAGCTATGCCTGTTCAATTTCATGTCTTAGAGAGGAAGATGTCATTAACCTTTCTAAGTCTCTACTATTTCTTTTCCATCATTAAAAACATCTCATACAACTTTCCAAGCACATAATAAGGGCTGACCCTGGGATACTGAACACATAATTACTATTTTTATGAAATTTAAGATTATTCAAAATGAATGTTATCTTATTAATGTCCTCATGGGTCCCAAACAAGCATTAGTAATTTTTATGAGAAAATTTAAAACCATCATTTACAAGGAGATGTAATATTTTAACCACAATTTAGTAAATGATAAAGGAAATATATATATAAATTACCTATTTGTTACAATGCAGTGTGACTCATTTTTTCCAAAATTCTAACCTTATTATTCCTTGTGAATGTTTTTCGGGGGGAAGAAAAAAAGGGAAATGAGTTTAAAAAACGGCAATTAAGGAAATTGAATGAAAAGAAAGAGTAATTGCTTAGAAAGCTAATATCTCTTTCCTGTCTTCTGAGTCTCTACTCAGAACAAAACAAAGTGTTCATGTGTTGGTTCGCTGTCTTCAGAGTCAGGCATAACTATAGGGGGAAACTGAAAGTATATTCAAAGTATTACAAAAATATTTTTTTAAAATTAGATTTAAGTGAAGCCTAAGAGGAAGATAGGAAGCCATGTTTTTGAGAGAGCAGTGAGTCAATAAGATACAGAATATTTGGTTTGCCAGTTGAGTGGTTTAAGTGGTTCCCTCGACGTGTCCCAACTTTCCTCCCCTCCCAACCTCCACTGGGTGGGATTTTCCTGTGACATGAGACCCTCCAAATGACCTCTTCCTCAGGACATCTCCATCAAAGGATCAGCACCATAAAACTAAAGCAAGGCTCCCACCCATGACCGCTCTGGACTGGCGCCGCATGCTGGATCTTTCTTTCTGATCATCTGTCATCTATTAAAAAAATCAAGATATTTCATTTAAAAAGCGTCTAACTAGACGTCTTTTAAAAAAATAAACTAGCACATCTGGGCATGTGTGTTAGTGGGAGCTACAACAGGGCATGGTTGAGGGTACCGGGCTTTAGGCCATGTGTCCTTAATGTTCTGAGACTATTTACAAAAACCAATCACCCTGGTAAAGTAGCATATGTGTAAACTTTGTGTCCAGCCAAAAGAAAATTTGATTGGAGCTAAAATGGCAATAGTTGGAATTATTTTTCCAAGTTATCTCAGCTTTCCTGTCCAGGTGTGTAAGGATAATAATGTTGAAATTCAGTGGTTTGAATCTTCAGGGAGATCTATCAGGAGAAATAAATGTCAGTTAGCTTCCCTAAATATTGCAGCTTTTCAAACCCTAGGGATAGTTCACAGGGTCGCTAGGCATCAGTATCACTGAGCACCATTTGTTTAGTTCAGGTTTATTTTTTGTCAAAGGAAATGTGGTTTTAAATTACCATCAAACTAGCTGTCATTCAAGAATATAGATGTAGTTGACCAGGAAGCTTCCCTCACCATCAGCTTTGTTTTATAACATTGCTATGAATTGAATGGACTCAATCGGTGAGGTTTTCTAACATTTGTTTAAAGGTCAGTTGGTGGTTTGTTTCTAGGTGCCCTTGAAAAGAGTAACTTACTGACCCTATGCACACCAGATCTAATAATACTTAAATAATTATTTACTAGGATGAGGGTCATTCACTGCCTCGTTCACTCTCATCCAGTTGCACCCATTTAGAGCTGGCCCTCCGGAAAATTTCCATGGCTGTTAATCACATGCAGGGAGGAGATGGCTGATCTTTCTCCCAGTCCTGTGAGATACTCACAAACTCTACCGTGCTTAAATCCATTGCTGTAGTCGCTGTGTCAATCAGCATATGTTATTAGCATGATCTGTAACTCTAAGGATTATGTTTGGCTGTGGGTGATTAAACAAGGCTATGAGCTAGGGGTGGGGGGATTTTGAGATTGCCTAATTCACCATTCATGAGGAAATGGAAGCAGGTCGTTTTCTGAGACAGTAAAACCTGCACACTCACCTGTAGAGTTCTCTGCTCTCTCAAAGAAATTGGACCAGGAAGCGGGCCCCAGGGCAAAAACTGGAAAAAATGGAGTGATTTTTCAAGTGTAAATTTTGAAAAGCATGATCTAATATCTTAGTCACAAAAGGACAAATACTGCATAGTGCCACTGCTGTAAAACAGGACTGACATTGGGGTTGGGAGGAGACTGAGAAAGATGGGATAAATAATGTATACTGCATTGAAACAGACATATGATTAGGTATTATTGTCATGACAGGAGTCCAAACAAAGGCTGCATAGTGGAGTGGACTTGGGGGGAGGGATTGTTATAACAATGGAAGAATTTTTCTTTTACTTTTTAAAGAGAAGCATGAATTGGGTTGGAGGTAGACGGGAAAGCTGGGCAGGCAGAAAAGTGCAACAATGAAGGAATGGAAATCCAAAGTCTCTGTAAACGTTCATTAAAATTAATAATAATATAAAAGGGGGGGAAGAAAATCATGATGCAGATGATTCGGTCTTCCTCCCGTACTAGAGATTCTTGGCATCCCAATGGAACAACTGATTTTACCAGCCTATTTGTGCAAACTGTTCTTGGTAAGAGCCTTTGGAGACCTTAGCCTTAATGCAAACGAGTATCTTTAATGAGACTAAAAGGTGGATTGCTACAAGGACATATTTGGGTGCAGCGGGCATTTCAGCATTCTTAATGCATATCAGGCAGATAAAGGCCCACCCCACCCACAGGCAGGGTCAGGCAGGCCTGTGATGGAGGAAGAGGAGGAAGAACTGTTTGTGTGTTCC